AAGACATGTCTTGGGTCTGTTTAAGCCTAGTGACCAGTGGTGGTTCTAGACGAAATATATCAGGGGGCCATGATGGGGCCCATGTTTTCTTTAGGGGGGGATAGAACTAAATAATAACAAACACACAAAAAAAAGTGTTTGGTATTATAAATGAGCCATAAAGCCCAGGTTGCTCACTTGATCTAACGGATCATGATCATTTCTCAGTACATATGAAGCTAAAACTGCTTACAATTTCTAAATAATTGTTAAAGTAAGTTTTCCAGGCAAAATATTAAACTGGTCCAAGGTACAAATTATTAAAAGTCTCTACTTTCATCGTACATGATCATTAGAAATTGATTTAGTTACACTGCAAAAACAGATCTGAAAAAGTTTTTTTTTTATTTTAATAATTGCGTCTGCTAATTGCATAAATTTGGTTATGTGTGTTTTCAGTACAGGGGCCAATTAAAGGGGCCAGGACTAGTTCTACAGGGGCACAGGCGCCTGTTGGCCCCTGTCTCGAACCACCGCTGCCTGTGAGCATCAGAGGGAGCTGGGCTTAAAATAGACAACAGAAAGGCATAACATATCAAGAGTAGGTGTCGTGGTTTACCATTTGAGATTTTAGCCATAGTCTGTCTTTGAACATAAAGGGTTTTAAAGTAAGAGTTTAGGTAAGTATCTGTAAATAAATAAAAATAAAAAGAAGAATAAATAAAAAAAGCTGTCATAGGTGGACGCCCTGTATATACTGTATATATCCCATGACCTTTTTCTTCCTTTGGCGCTTTCTTCTTCTCTTCTGACTCTTTAAGATGATGTAACTGGTACATTTCTCCACTGTGCGATCAAGAAAGTCAATCAATCAAGCGATAAATATCTTTTAAAAGCTAACCATGCTAATGTAAGATGCTACAGCACAGTTTAAACTGTCTTCTCCGTAATAAATATTTATTTCTTCAAAAATATTTGCAAAATCCTGTTTTACAGTAACTGTTTGAAGCACAAGCTTCTGTTCCAAACTAAACTTCAAACATAGAAATATGGATAAAAATCATATTGTACTTTTATTACAAGGCTTTTACTTTTACTACGAAAACTGTATTTTCATGCAAGATCTTTACAATAACTAGGAATAAGAAATGGGACACAAATTATTTATTTTGAATCAGTAACACTGCTTATTAAATGGTTAATTTAGATTTCTTTGGAAGTTAGGTCCTAAAGTTGTTAGCAGTTATAGTTTGTGATAGAAATATCCCATTTATCCAGGAGCTTATCCAAAAAATAATAAATTAAGAAGCTCTTGAGATTGTGGAAGCTAATATTTAGTTCAGCATATATATTTTTAAATTAATTTGAAATCTAAAATAACTCAAAGGTATGTTTCTCTCATGATGGCCTTTTGTTTTTAAATAAAAAAGACTGCAAAGAACTTAACAGAAATACACTGCTAAATTTCATAGTTTATCTTTTAAGGTTGGATTACATTTTCAATTTTGACCGGGGAGCATAAAACCCCTGGTAAATAATCCCTAGTTTACAGAAGAAGATTAGTATGAAGGACTAACTCTGCCATATTTAAAAATAAATACAGAAATAAATAAATGCTCAATAAATGTATAAGCATACAATTAATTGCC